CCCCATAGATTTTATAAAGGTTCTCCACCCTTCCGGGGATCTGATACTATGAGGAAGGTTTAGCCCAAGACTCTCTCGTAAGATCTGATAACGATGGAATAAAACCAAGTCGAAGAGGCAGGGTCTGGTCCTAGGCTATATCCTCATATACTTTGTCCACTTTCTTTGCTGTAGGTTGCTCCACAGGCAGATCCAACACCTTCGTGAAGAATAAGCTGTGAGTAAGAAATATAGTCCTCAGATGGAGAGGTAGGATGATTCTCCGCAACATCAGAACCAGGCATGGGAACACTGGAGTCTTCCTCCCCACCTGAGCCCAGTGAATCAAAGTCTAACGGTTTGTGATCGATAGACGGAGAATAATCTCCCTGAGTGGGCGGTGCATGGTAGGTGATGGTATTTACTCAGGCTATCAGTCTACCTACATCTCCTCTAGAAGGGCACTGGGCTGGAGACTGAAGCCGCTCTGGAGCAGCCTGCACACTTTCAGGGTCTGATACTGGATGATAAGCTCGCTTAACATCAACCACAGGAACATAATCCAGAGGCAGATGCCTCTTATGGGGCTGTGGCGGCAGAGGATAGAAATCACCCTCAGTACCTGAAGTTCAATCTTCAAAACACTGTCGAGGGACAGAAGGCGACGGTGAGGGTGAATAGGGATTGTAGTAACAACGACGATAGTATGGGTTGAACCTGTAGGCTTTTGGATAGGAACGTGGGTTGGGCTTGAAGTTGTCAGAATCAAAGTATGCTGGATGGTCAAAGTAGCGCCACCTACTATAACATGCATAATCATGACCAGAGACTGACTGATGCCGAGGGAGCTCAGGCTCGCACGGTGGCTCAAGGTGCCAGGATTTGTGTGTTCTCTTTCTAGGCACCTCGATCAGTACTGATCCTGGCGGCGAAACATCCTCCAATTGAGCCCAGAGGAGTTCACAGGCTAGCCTGTGCCAATTGTATTGCCTCCGCAGTGCTGTTTCCCCAGTCAGGAGAGTAGCTGATACATGGGGATGGCGAGGCCTCTGGCACCGGGGGCAGACCATCTTCATCCCCCAATGCTAAGCTAAGGCATACCGATTGTTGCCGGGATGTATCCAGTGTCGAAGACATTTATCTGCCAAGCAACCCAGTTTCAGAACCTTCTTTTTCTTCTTCAGGGCAGATACCAAGGGAGGCTTTGGTGTTGATGCAGTAGCTGTCGATCTTGAGCCTGAGGAAGACACCTGGGGCTTGGCTGCCATTTTAGAAGTCTTCTGGGCTTTAGGAGGTGGCAGCAAGCCTGAGACTGAGGGCTGCCAGTCCACCTGTGGTGGATCCATGGAAGCCTCTAGGGTTGGAGACAGAGACTTTCCCCAGAGAAATGAACGGAGGCGTTGAAGCCTCAACTTCAAAGCCAGTTTAGTGAAGTTTTTACAGGCCCCACACAGGCCCTGGCTTCGGCACCCTTCACACCCACAATCTGGTTCTAATATGTGGATGACACCTTTGCAATTTGGAACCATAGTAAAGAAAAATTGGAAGAATTTCTGAACCATCTCAACAGCATCCACCCAAATATACAATTCACCATGGAAAAAG